GGGCCGCGGGCGGGCGGGCGAGCGAGCGGGCGGGGGTCGCCAGCAGCATCAGCCGGGGCAGAGCCTGAAGACGCCGCCTCGGTCGCGGACCCCGGGGGTCCCGCAGCGCCCCGGACTTGGGCTGAGCCATTGCTCCCGCGCGCCGGGCTGCAGGGAAGCGCTTCTTCCCCCTGTTCGGCACTGGTGAGGCCACATCTGGAGGCCGGTGTCCGTGGGGGGGGTCTTGCACTGCAGAAATGTTGCGGGCAAGTTGGAGGGAGTCCAGCGGAGGGCAGTGAAAACGGCGAGGGACGCGGCGAGGCCGAGGGAACTGGGCTTCGTTACTGGAGAAGAGGAGCCCGAGTGAGGGGGGTTCAATAGCAGCTTTCAGCTACCTGAAGCGGGGTGGGGTTGCAAAGAGGATAGAGGTGGACTGTTGTCAGTGGGGGCAGATGGCCGACTGAGGAGCAATGGTGTCCACTTGCAGCAAGAGAAGTTTAGGTTAGTTTGGGGTTTTTTGTTTGTTTGTTTGCTTGTTTTGCATCTTTCTCACAAGGAGGGTGTGAAGCACTGAAACAGGCTGCTCCATCTCCCACCCTTGGAGGTTTGTAAGACCTGGGTGGACAAAGCTGTGGCTGGGATGATCTAGTTGGGGACACTCCTGCTGTGAGCAGGGGGTTGGACTAGATATGACCTCCTGAGGTCCCCTTCCAAGCCTCATTTTCTGTAATTCTTTGGCTGGAAGGGCCCCTGGGTAATGCCAGTACCTAGTTTTCCCTCCTTTTGTAGGCTCTGGAGCCCTTTCCCTGTTGCAGAGAGCTGGGAAAGGCCACCCCAGGTCAGCCTCCCCTGCCCCCCGCCCCCCCCATTGGGAACCTCTGGGCTTATCTTGTGGGTCACATAGGTGCACCCCAGAGCGTGGCATGCCAGGAGGGATCTTGAGGCTCCCCTTGCTGCCTCAGCTTCCCCAGCTGAGAACCATCAGGCTCTGGGTGGCTCTTGGAAATGCCAGCTCTTCCTTTGAACTTGGCTTCTTTGTGGAAAAACGATAGTCAGTCTTCTGTTGGCTAAGATTTCAGAGAGACCAGGGCAGGTTGGCATATATTTAAAACTTATGGATCCCTATTGGAAATCTCTGAGTTTAGCCTGTGAATCACAGTAACACACCTAACAGCGCCAATGTGGCGTGGCCCCCTGGTGGTGCTGTTGAAAGGCTCTCAAGGTGCCCTGGTTGAGAATCAGTGGTGTAGAACGTAGGTAACTTAAGGGCTAAAACATGCAGCATCCTTCTAAAGGCAGAGCATTTTAGAAGTGTGTTGGGGGAGTGGGGGTGTTTATGCTAAGTACAGTATCCCCTTTTCTAGCTCCTGGAGCCCTATGAATTGCTGTGCAGCTGCTCCTCCATGGACACACACGCTCTCCCTTCTTGTCCAAGCACCACCTTTCTGTGTACTCACAGAGGGCTCCTACGACAAGGCAAATTGCCTGCAGCAACAGGAAAGCAAATTACACCACATGCATCCGCCTTTAGAAGGTTCCCCCCCTCCAAACTTTTCACAAGCCTCAACCTCTGCCCCCAGTGGAATGTGAATCCAGGCACAAGCCAGGTTTTTCCACTTGTCTTTTTTCTTTGCTTTTTACAAAAGCCCCAGGATGGGCTAATGTGTTTGGGACCAGTCCAACTCCCATTGACTTTATGAACAAAAAGGCTACAGAATTGTTTTTCCTCGTTCGCTCTTTCTTCTTTTTTTAAACCTGCTTCTTGCCCATTTAGATGTTGCTATGGTAAACGTATTTTCAGGGCATCCTATAAAGACGGATGTGAAGTAGCTAACTGTATTTTGACACATGTTCTGGAGCAGCACCCTTAAAAGTATGAAACTTGGTGTTTTGACCTGGGAGCTGTTTGTTTTCATTAAAAACAGCTGTGGGCCAAAGACTGCCTCTGCCACTCTCATCAAATTTGCATTCATTTAAAGCAGCCCCGCTACAATTGAAGGACTCTGCAGTAACCAGTACAGTACTTGTGTAACAAGTCACTGCAGACATTAGTTTTTCTCTTAGAAGTCTTTAGCACTCATCATCTTCTCTAGGACCTTTTAAGATAGAAGTTGCCTCATAAAACATATTGGCTTTAAAAAGTATGTAATCCAGCATATTAATGCCTGTGAGAAGAAAGAACAACATTCCCTTTTCTGAGATGATAAAGTTGGGACATTGAAAGTCTACTCCAAATACTAATGCTGCTCCATATGGGTTGGACATATACAATCTGTTCCTCAGTTCCTCCACTTGCATTTTTATTTTTGTAGAATGTTTTGAAATCATTTTGTAAAAAACCCACTAAGTATTAATAAGCGTCTTTGATTGGGAAGGATTAATATAATATCATATTCCACTGCATGGCTATTTTATTTAGATTGATTAGAAAAATACGTGGTAATCATCTTCTGCTTTTGGTACATGACATCTAAGGTACTTAACACAGTATATGGGACTCTTTATCTCACCATGACAGAAGTATCCACATTAACAAACACAAGCCTGTTCAGCTCATCCCTTCTCAGAAAGCTGGGTGGGGGAGATGGACATTGCAAGATAACCAAAAGACTAACAAATCCAGACTGTGACAGAAGGAGGAGGGAACAAGCTCTAATGCCTTCAGAAAGCTGTTCTCTCCCATTTTCAGTGAGGGACCTCCAGTTCAAAGGCCTTTGTTGCGGTGGTGTGGACCAGCTAGTGTTGTTGTCTTACAGGTAACTAAGTCCCAAAATACTTTACGGCTGGAAAACTGATATCAAGACCTTGGGCCTGATTCTCAGTTGTCCTGCTTCTTGTGCAGTCACTAGTATAAGTGTTGAATATTGCCATTCTTCTTCAGTAGCATTTTATACTCGCTTTACACTGATGTAAGTGACTATATTTAATTATCCTGTGCACTAAGTTCAGTGTAGTTTGCCAGAATTCCTCTTGTTAACTTATTGGAAGCCAGGCAAGATCCCAGAACATGACTGTAGTGCCCATCATGAAACTATTTCATAAGCTGGTTGCCAAAGTCGTTCCAATTTTTGAGTGGTCTCAAGGCATCTCTCTGGCTTTTAAACAAAGGCTTGAACCTTTAGAGCTTGCATATATATAACATACATTAAAATCATATAGTGTTGCATGAGTAAGAAATAGAAGATTGCATGAATGGGAAGACTAGAAACTATACTAAAAGTATATGGCTCAAGCCCACAGTTGATACTGGAAATGAAGGAAAAGGCTTTTTTTCCTAAAGGCCAGAAGGACCTCTGGCTCATGCACTTTGAGCTTAGCCTAAGGCCAGGTGTGCTCAGCCCCCAGCCTGTAGGCCAGACCTGGCCTTTGGAGCCATGGTATCTGGCCTGTGGGGCTCCCCACAGGTCAGGAAATTTGGGGATGGGGAAGCAGTGGCAATGAATACTGCCACCCCTCCCCCACTGCCAAATTCCCAAGCCCTGCAGGGGCAGATTGGGACTGGGCCATGCCCCCTCCCTCCACACAGATGGATTGAGGGCAGGCTCCCCCTGCATGCCGAACTGAGACCGCTGGTTGGATTCAGGCCATGGACTAGGCACCACTCTGGCCCATAGAGTGAAAAGGTTGGGCACTGCCTTAGATCAAATGCAGCTGCCAAGAAAAACAATGTAATTTTATATAGATTTGAGTTTGCACGTATTACAGTCAGATGGAAAGTTAAAATGTCCTGTGTACTTCTGTCTTTTCATGCATAAGCATTTTTAGTGTGCATACTTTTGACATGCACAGTACATGTGTACTTTTTTTTTAAATCAACACTAATCCAGTATATCTCAGTTTTATGCACTCTTGCAAAGACGGTCATTTTTAACTCCCTGTTAGTTCAATAACCTGCTCTGCACCCCAGAATTTCTATAATGCTAAGGGCTGAGCATACCACCCCAACCCTCAGCATACCACCCCAACCCTCAGCCAATAGGCAGGGCTCATTGGAGGGGAGACAAACAGCTCGACCCTTAACCCTTGCCCCCCCATACTTTGCCTTCTGCTACCAGTCTGCCCCCATCACTTGCCTCCTGCTGTGCCTGCCCCCCACCTCCAGCTTTGGATCTCTATTCCCCCCCTCCCTCCATCTAAGTCCCCCACAGCCTCTGTTTCCCTCTGCAGCCTCTGCTTTCCTGCCTGTCTCCCTTGCAGCCTCAGGCCCCTGCCATCTCTGCTCTACCTTAATGCTTGCCCTTGCTCTGGCTTTGGCAGGCGGGGGCAGAGGTTGCAGGGTGAGGGAAGATGGGGGCGGGGAAGGTGGTGGGGAGCAGGGGGCCTGGTGCTGTGGACAGGGGCAGGTAGGGGAGTAGAGACTATGGGAGGGGGGCAAAGACTTATTGTTGGTGGCGATCCCCCCCTGATCAAGGATTATCACTCCCACAGGTAAAGGGTTGTAAATGAGTCCATTGATGGCTAAGAAGGCCAATCCTAGAGACACAAAATTGGGGGCTGGGGGAGAGGGAGAGAGGTAGAGGCAGTAGCTGCAGCATCTGCCTGCCTGCTCCCCCCCCATCTCTTACTGAAATCCAAGACAAGGGGCTTCCCCCAATGTTGGGGGGACACCTCATCTTGGATTTAAGTAAATAGGGCAATTCCTCTTAAACAAGGTACTCAGTAGATCTTCTTCATTTAGTCTCAGTTCCAGCTGCCTTATACAATGTGAGTCCCTTAATGGGACAGTTCTCCACAGTGCTTAACAATCTAAGATAGAGTGGGCTCCTGTTATTTGTTTCTTCTCTCTGCTTCTTCTGTCTAGAGCTCTCAGCATGGCCCCTTCTTCAAACTGAAGCAGAGTGCTAAGATCAGGCTCTGGGATGGAAGTGCATGTTGATTCTCCAAGGTCTGCTTGCTACATTCTTCTTCCCCTCATTTCAACTAGAACATCATTTTAGTGGAATCTATCCCAAGAACAACTCGAGGTAGAGATTCATGTCATTCCAAATACTTCTTGCATCATTCCAGGCTTTCAGACTGTTTTGCTATGCTTTGGTTTCTAGCCATAGTGGAGCGTAGTAGTGGCCTTTTATAGTCACACTGTCTTGATTATCATTGTACATTTTCTCTTGCTTGAATTTCAATTTGAGAAAGGTACAGTAAGATATCTGAGGAGTTGTCAGAGCTAGAGAAGTTCAAGTGTTCTGCCACTGAAGAGCTAGGTA